TATTTATTAAATTTAACTTTTTGTCATCAAAATATTACTTTGACCAATTCTATATAAAATTTATACAAAATTAATGTTTTAGGATCGTCATTCTAATTACACTGCGTCCTTGAACTCTTGCTTCCTGTTCCTGACCAGGGTTCCAGGGTTCCAGCAGCAAGTCAATCCTTCCTTCTGCCCTGTGAAAAAAAAAATCCCTTTACTCCCAAAAATCCCCACGTTCCAAAAAAAAAAAAAAAGATTCCTTATTCTAATTATAATACTAATTTTTTTTTTTAAGTCTAAAAGTTGTTTCAAATGTTTTTCTTTCGAAAACTATATAACTATAATATTATGTGATATTTTGAGTTTATATTTATAATATTTTATTTATAATTGATTTTTTTAATATTAATATATAATATTACATATATTTATTTATTTAATAATATAACATTATTATAAATATATAATTTTATACATGTGACATGTATGTTTATATCATTTTTGTTTCTTCTTAATACATGATGGCCATACAATTACAATATAGGATAAGTTTGCATTGTTTAAAGTTATTTTCACTCATCTCAAGTTCAAGGATGAAAACTTCAATTTGGAATCCCAGATAGGCCAAGGCATCTTATTTCGGTGGCGTCAAAGATTTCTCTCGTCTACAAGTTCATAATATCAAGCAAACAAATCATTTTCTTTCATTTCATTTCTACTTTTCCATTCAAACAGAGTAAAATTTTCCAAAAGGTGGCTAAGAATTTTCATAAGGCCATCTGAGTGCCACATATTTTGACGTTCTTTACACTCCACCAGAAACGACATTCCTAGAAACCCCTCCGCTTTATGAAAATTTGATTTTTGATCTTAAATAATGCTTATCGCTGGCAAAGCCCATTAATCTAAAAGTTTGTCTAACTTATATATTTAGAATATAGGTTAAGATTATAATAGATATATTTTTTATAATTAATTTATATAAAAAATTATAAAAATTGATATTTATTTTAATGTTATTGACACATAAGTAGTTTAAATTGATTAATTAATTAATTTAAAATAAATACTTATTATTTTTATATAAATTAATTATATTTTTTAACCTATATTTTAAAGATGCATATTAAAAATAATCCTTGATTTAATCTAATTCTCCCAGAAAAAGACAACACTGGTGAACAGGTCTATGCATTCATCTTTTGTCAATACTGCTTTTTCCATTGTTTTTCCTTGAGAAAACATTGAAATATGTATCCTGTCCCCAGCCAAACCCATTAAGCCAATGGTATGCCCAAGGCATCAATGTCCTGAGATCATACAATTTTGGAGCTTTTGGACTGCTTCCCCGTGAGGATTTCCATCACTTGCATTACAATATCCCCTTCATTTCTCTTTCTCAGAACCCTGTTCCTCCAAATTGGTTTTGTTTTATGCCTCTTCTTTTCCTTTTTTTGTCTTGGTTTATGCCTTTTCTTAATCACCTCCTTTTGCCTAATTTAATGGGATTACCAATAATTGAGGTCAGTCTCCCACACGTGTCACGACGCTAGGGTTCAATCCCTAATCTAGATTTAAACAATAATTTGATCATTTATTTTTCACCTTTTTTTAACTCTATCTGCTCAAGGTCATGCAATGATCCTTCTCCATGCAAGACACATAAAACAATATTTATAATATTGACAGAGAACACACTTGTTTTATTTTTATAAAAGACTATAAGATTAGGATCAACATCAACCTTTTTTTAATCTCCTGAAAAATTAATATCCCTCTAGGGTCTTGACCAGATTCAAGATTGATTTCCCAAATTTTATATAGTGAATATGCCTGGCTTCCAAGATTTGATTCCCTTGAAGGATGAGTAAAATGTTTATTTATTTATTTTTTCTTTTCTCTAGTCTCCATGACATTTATTCTGAGTTTTGCAGCAAACTGTACTGATACTAACATTAACACATCCATTATACATTATTCACCAGAAAGAAATGCACAAAGGAAAACTTCTTTTTTTTTTTCTCCCTTTTTTACCATATACTATCCACACAAACAAACTCAGTCTGAATCTGGATCTTGAGCCCATGCCTCCTCATATCCCTCAAATCTTTTTAATTTTACTCAGTCAGCATCAGTAGTACATGACTTTTTCTTCTATCTTGATTTCATCCAACAAAAAACTGTCAGAACTATTTGCAGTACTGCTAATCAGTTGCTTGATCTCTTCGAGTCCATTGTCTAATGTAGCTTGATCACCCCATAACACATTTGATGAAGAAACCATGAGTTTCTGTTCCTGAACTCCATTGTAGAAGTAATTCTGCATCCCCATTTGTTGACTTTGATCACCATATTGTTGATAGTCATGGTCTAATTGATCTTTCCCATGGCTGATTTGGTTGTTGCTGCAACTTGCATCAGAGGAACTGCAGCTAGTTTCACCTCCAAACATCAGGACACTGTCTTTGACTTGGTAATGCTGCATAGGACCCAATAAACTCTCCTGGGTTTGGAGAAGACAGGAAGCAGTAGTGGTACTGTTGCTGCTTAAGAAATTGCTTGGAGAATATGCAATGGTATCCACACCTGAAAAAGGGGTGTAGTAATTGGGAGTGTATGATAGCGATGACGATGAGGATGATGACAATGGAGGTGATGGTAATGAGGATTTAGATGAAGATGCTTGGTGAAGAAGAGCTGAGAAACTGCAGGGTTGGTGAACTTTTCTGTGGTAATTATGAGGTGGAGGAACCGCCCCCATGAGTTTCTTCTTCAGCTTTGTGTTCCAGTAGTTCTTGATATCATTATCTGTTCTCCCTGGCAACTGAGTTGCTATTATTGACCATCTGCACTTAAAAATGACTAAATTAGAAGAAATACAAGTTGCTTTCCTTAAAATTGTTTTCTTTTGAAAATTAAACAATAGATTAAAGATGATTTTAGTTTACCTGCTACCAATGGTAACATAGAGGCTGCAGATGATCCTGTCTTCATCTTCAGAGAAATCTCCATGTTTGATGTTGGGTCTGAGATAGTTCAGCCATCTCAATCTGCAGCTTTTCCCACATCTTCTGAGACCTGTAGAAACCCAAACCCTTTTCAGTTCTCTAGCTAATTAAACCATCTTTCTTTTACAAAAGAAGAAGAAGAAGAAGAAGAAGAAGGATCTTACCAGCTTTTTGAGGAAGAGCAATCCAGTTTCCTCCAGTTCCATTCTTCTCTATATACTCTTTCAGCTGAGCATCTTCTTCAGGAGACCATGGCCCTTTCTTCACATTAGCTTTGTCACAACAAGGAGCCCTTCCCATCTCTCTTTTCTTTTTGTTTTCACCAGAGCTTCTGTAGGAAGCTAACTCTCCTACAATGAGACAGATGTTTCAAAAAGGAGGTGGAGACTCTGTGTTTCATATGAAGAAACTGGAGGAAATATTTATTGAGGGGAGAGACAACAGAAGTCAAATGACAGGCCCTATAATTTCAATGATAACCTATTTTTTCCAAACACCTATTTTTCCTTGATTTTGTTTAGCTAAGAGAAGGAGGTTTCCCCAATAACTTGTATACGGCCGGATTCAAAACCATGAAACTTCAGTCTCACCAGTTACCACAACACTAAAATGTTTCGTAACATATTTCAAATTCGAATTTTAAGGTCATTTATTGTAAAGGATATGAGAAT